GGAGCCTGAGCTCTGATTTGTAACATATGTGCCCATCTTTTTACATGGCTGTACAATTTTCACTGCTAAAATTCCTTCCCCGATGGAGACATCAGCAACATCCGCCCCTCCTTCTAAGGTCCCAAACGACAAATGGAGGTATGATTCCACTGGAGCTTACTTTTGGGGGAGCCAATGAGCTCATTAGGCTGACCTAAAGTGCACTGAGTGAGGGGTTATGAGCAGGAGCATGGGGGACCTTAATGCAGCCGTACTGGATGGTCTGAACCCAGCATGGATGATGACTCTCCCATGGCCACATAGATAGAGCCCCTTCTCCCCTAGCCCTCCCCCCACCTAAGCCCCCTCCCCTAACCCTCCCCCACCTACATTCTGTAGCTCCTCCTCCTCCTCAAGACCCTGAGGGCACATGCAATTAGGGCAGAATGGCATACAACTGGTGGGTGGGGTGTGGTGACTGGGTGCAGGTGGGGGTCCCATGGCCTTCCCTGCCTCTCTGTCTTAGGCACTGTTCTGTCACTATGAGGAGATGCCCAGACCCAGGCAGCTCTTATAAAAGAAATGATTGAAGTGGGAATTTGCTTATAGTTTCAGAGGCTCAGTCCGTTATCATCACAGCAGGGACCGTGGTGGCGTACATGGCAATCATGGTGCTGGAGATATCGCTGAGAGCTGCATCCTGACCCAAAGGCAGAGGGAGAGGAGAGAGAGAGAGACTCTGAGACTGGGATGGGCTTTTGAAACCTCAGAGCCCACCCCCAGTGACACACGTCCTCCAGCAAGGCCACGCCTCCTCATCCTCCTCATCCTTCTCAAACAGTGCCACTCCCTGGTGACTAAGCAGTCACATATATGAGCCTGTGGGGGCCGTTCTCGTTCAAACCGCCACACCCTCCTTCTGCGAAGGAGTGTCCAGCCAACAAGCCCCATGTGATGATCTCCTGTAAGAGGCCGCATCTGACCTGACGAAGCTGGTGGCAGTTTGACTTGAGGATAGTCCCGGGCAAGTACAAATGACAAGGAACATTGTCACCGACCTATCAGACAATGGGGGATTAATGCAAAGCCACCTCTCAAAGCCCCATTCCAAGGACCCAAATGAGGCCTAGAGTGGCTGCTTCCTGCTGTGGAGCCAACATCCCTTCCACACAAATGCCCAGGGGCAGGGACTTGAGGGAGATTTTCAACACAGACGTGGAGAAAGGGTGGGACCTAAGTCTCCTGGGCCGGGACAGGTACTGGTTTGGGTGCCCACTGCTCCTCAGCCTGTGTGTCAAGCCCATTGTGTGCTGCACACCCACTAATGAGATGGTGACGGTGATGACGAGGACACCAGGCACTCTGCCGGGGGTCTCGGTCCCTCCTGTGACTTCCCTTTCCTCCCTAGGGACTGGGGGTGATTCTGGAGGTTGTGATGAGACGTACGTGACAGGAAGGTCTCAGGGATGTTGCCCCCCGATGGGCACTTTCAACAGGGCTCCCTGCGACCGTTTCTCATTGGTTCTGAATCTCTTGGTACCCGCCCCTGTGTCTGAATCTCTGTAGAGGGTCAGTGAGAGCTTGGGGCAGATGCGGTGCCCCGGAGTCCATGCGTGGGGCAGATCTGGTGCCCCGGAGGAGTCCTTGAGTGGGGCAGATGCGGTGCCCCGGAGTCCATGCGTGGGGCAGATCTGGTGCCCCGGAGTCCATGCGTGGGGCAGATCTGGTGCCCCGGAGTCCTTGCGTGGGGCAGATCTGGTGCCCCGGAGTCCTTGTGTGGGGCAGATGCGGTGCCCCAGGTCCTTGCAGCACGCTCTACCCTTGGGTCTGTTATCAGACGTGTAAAGAATTTTACAGGAAACCGAGAGGAAAAGGGCCTGCCCACCTTAGTCGGTGGAACGCAATCAGCACACAGGTAGCTGGATAGCTACCACGTTTCCTGGCCGTTTCTATTCCCACCATGCCTCTTCTCTTTCTTTGATTTGGCTGAATACATGGCAGCTATGTTTTTCAGTGTTCATTCATTCATTCATTCATTCACTCATTCATTCATTCATTCATTCATTCATTCATTCATTCATGTGCCTCTGGCACACGGGCTCTGGGCGCAGACTCACTAGAGGCTCCCTCGCACACGCATCTGACCAAGTCCCTGCCCAGATGGATTCTGCAACTGCTGGATGAAACAGATAACTAAAAACACAAAGCAAACACATAATTACAAATTGATAAACAGTAAGAGAGAAGGAGGAAGGTTTCCAGAGGACAGAAAGGAGACCAAATTTAGGGACCCGTCTTTGATATGAAGAACAACAGTCTGAACTCAGCTGCATTCGTCCTAGGTAGGCGAGCCAACCCTCAAATCTCAGGGGCTCTGCATAATTAAGTTGTACTTTTTGTTCACATCACTGGGCTGAGGGGCTGGGCCGCTCTTCAAGGCAGCTGTCCTCCATATGTGTCCCGGTGTTCCCGGAGGCTTTGATGGTCCGGCACCTCCATGCTAGCTTGACCTCCAGCACATCGCTGGGAAGAGTCGGAACGTGGAGCATTGGCTCGCAGCTGCCTCAGCTTGGGGGTGGCATATGCCTCTTTCTACTGACGTTTCCCTGGCTGTAGCAAATCCCACGCCACGCCCAATTCCTAGGAGATCAGAACCTAGCGTGAGAGAGGACCAGAGGACTTGGTGAGTGCTGGCAATGCCTGCCACCTGGGCTAACCTGGGCTAAGCATGCATCAAAGGGCATCCCAGGTGTGTGTGTGGGTGGGGGGACTAGGAAATGTGGGGTGGCTAGGGTTGGTGACCAAAGACAGAAAAGTGAGAGTGAAGAGGCATTCCCTATATGTGCTAAGAATTCAAATCCAATCACAAATACAAATTTGGCTTTGAGAGAGGGTCTCACTATATGGCTCAGGCTGGCCTTCAAGCCTTGATCTTCCCACCTCAACCCTCCAAGTGCTGAGGTTATACCCAGCCCGCAACTGACTACTTTACGGCAAGGGTGTTAGGGTAAGTGATGTGCGGCTTACAATGGTACTTGGGCTTATTACATGGAGAGATGGAGAGGGGGGCGATTGAAACCGTTCAGACTAGGAAGGATGCCAGCTGAAATGATCGAGGGTGGCAGAGGGGGAGAGCAGTGGAGGGTTGAGAGGTGGTAGAGCGGATGGGGTGGAGGGATGGACTGCGACAGAGAGACAAGGACAGCAGGGTCTCGGCGTTGAGGAAACCAGTGGATAGAGATGCTAAATGTGGAGGCAGGGGACTGGGGGAGGGACGTGTGTGTGTGTGTGTGTGTGTGTGTGTGTGTGTGTGTGTGTGTAGAACTTGGACTCAGTTTGCTACAGTGTAGTGAGAGACACCTCAAAACACCCCTCTGGGGGTGTCAGCACCAGGAGACAGGACTCGAGTCCCAATATTACCGTTGGATGGGCAAAGGCCGCGCTATTACCCTAACAGAGGGCGACCCTTCAGGGACCATGACGGTTCTCTGTCCTCTTTCTCGTTTTTTCAAATGTAGTGTTTTCACGGGAAATCAGAGGCATAGAAAGACCCGCAGATAAGATATGTCTGTCCCTGAAAGGACAGGTCCTTACTCACAGTTCCGGAAGGGGGCATGTCAGGCCATGGGGCAGCGCCCATGTCTGTCGGGAGGCAGGCGTGGGGGAGGAGCTGAGACTCACTGGGAGAGGCAGGAGGGCTCAGGTTGGGCTAGTCTGAGTATTTCCAGCCACCCCGGCCTGCAGAAGTCACCACTAATTTTCCAGTCTTGGGGACTGAGGAACGATCGCAGGTGAGTCACGGTTTTTGGATGAGAGACCCACGGAGGAGGTTGGACTTCGGGCCTGAGATGGGCTGATCTGCATTTTCAAAGCAGTTGGTTTTTTTTTCAAAACAGCTGGGTGAGCTGCTTTGTCTCCCCGGG